CTTCGTGCAAACCGCACAAACATGTTCTTGGTGAACATTGTTTGGTAGGGCTGTGGGCGAGCGCCAGGACGCTTCGCCACTGCTCGAGTCTTGGCAGGGCGCGAGCCCCGACCCAGACCCCCGACGTCATGATTTTTCATGACGCGACCCCCAGAGGTCCGGACCCATTCCCCGGGACCGGCTTTTCATCCTGAGTCGTTTTTTGACGGTCCTGAGGGCCGGTAAGGGCCCCCGGAGGCCGAAAGTAGCGAAAAACGTCCCGTCGTGATTTTTTCATGACTCGAGGGGGTCTGGGGATGATGGGTGGGCTGGCGTGCTCGGGCCCCCCAGGGGCGCCAGCTCCGCCCCACCGCCCATCTGCCGGGCTCGGTGCAAGTCGGGCGTGTGCCCCTGCAGGGGGATTTTTCCGGCGATAAAAATTTACGAAGTGCCCCAAGCATACCCCCAAGATGCTCAAAAATTAGTCGAAAAATAATGCCCAGAGTATTTTTGACTATTTTTTTGAATACTCCCCCTGTCGAGGGACAGGCCCGACCTCAGACTCTCTGCACCGGCGTGCCGTCCGCGGGCCAGCGCTGATGCCGCGACGGAGTCCTGGCAGGGCGCGGATGCCCCGAGAAATGGGGGGGGGGGGGGCCGGCGTGCTCGGGCCCCCGGGGCGCAGGCTCCGCCCAGCCGCCCATCCGCCGAGCTCGGCCTGTGCGGGCGAGGCTGGCGCGGGTGCCCGCAGGCCGCCTCCCACCTTTTTTTGAAGGGGCCCCGGGACACGCAAATGAATACACACACAAATGAAACGATTCCCATACGCGACGCGGAGACCCCCTACGCGACGCGGCGGGGGGGGTCCGGGGGTTGTGACCCCCCCTGGGGGGGGAACCCCTCCCCAGGAGAAGCTTTCGGCTCCAAAGCGTCAGCGTCGTCGTCATCGCCGTCGCCGTCGCAGTCGATGGCGTCGTCATCGCCGTCGCCGTCGCCGTCGATGGCGACGTCGTCGTCGTCGTCGTCGTCGTCGTCGTCGTCGTCGTCGTCGTCGTCGTCGTCGTCGTCGTCGTCGTCGTCCCCCTTCAGGGTCGGCGGCACCGGCCGCGAGGCCTTCGCAATTTGTGGCGACATTCGAACCCTACCCCCAACTACCATCGAGTCTCCTAAACACTGGGAGGCGGGGGCAAGCTTCGAATTTCGCCAACGGTTCAGCGAATTCCGAACCCTACCCCTGGCTGCCCGTCGAGTTGCCCAAATTAGAAAAAGAAAGAACCACATAAACATAAAATTCTGGCGCTCCGGGAAGACTTCTTGGATTCGCTCCAGACGCCCCTCCCTGGCGCGCGGAGCGCGCCAGGGGCGGCGCCTGAGGCGCCGCCAGGGGGGCCCCAGCGCGGATCCAAGAAACCCGCGCGGAGCGCCAAAGGTTTCTGGTGTCGTGTGTTGCTTATCAAGGCGTAGAAACAATTGAAACTCCTTGAAAAAAGACTCAAAATCTTGAAAGCAAATTTCAGAAGCCGTCCCATACTATTTTTGACTATGCCTGAATATCCCTACTGTAGAGGGACAGGCCCGACTGAAATCGAGTTGCCTAAATCCACCGTAAGTTGGAGAGGGGGAGGAGGCGGCGGACGAGGAGGAGGAGGAGGAGGGCGAGAAGGAGGAGGAGGAGGAGGAGGAGGACCGAGAACCCTCTCCCCCTCCAATTTTTGGTGGTGGTGGAAAACAGGCCCATCATGCGATAGCCGCCCTGGGCTTAGCTGCGCCGATGTGCAACACGCCATTGACACGGAGCTCAACACACGCCGGCGGCGAGTGGGGGGGGGGCAGTGAGGAGGAGAAGGCCCCTACAGGGGGGCGGCGAGGCTTCTCAGAAGCCCTCTGGCCTTCGGAGGAGATCCTGTGTCTTCTCAAGAGGCCATGGAGCTTCCGAGCCTTCTGCGAAGGCCCGCCCCTTCGCGCTCCCCCCCCCCCGCTCGCCGCCGAACGTAGACTGAAAGCGCTGTTCTGGCAAAGAGACGCTCCACCACAAAACGTGGACCACCGCGTGCCGAGCCAGCACGCTGCGCGTCAACCCGGACGCGTGGAACGCGGTGCGTGACGTCTCGCGTGTCCGCACAGGCGCACCAGGGCAGCCAAGAACCCAGGGGGGGGGGGAGCCGCCGATAACCTAACCTTTACGCCTTGTGAATCCCCACGCGGTCCCGCGCGCACCAATCCCCCGACCCGCGCCACGGACAGGCAAAGTCAAGCTCTCGGGAAGGTGGGTTGGGGGCGGGGTGGCCCGAGGACCCCGGGTGATCGCCGGACCCCGAGCAGAAAAGTGCTTCTCAAGGAGAAGCAAGGGTAGCAGGAGTAAGCCTCTTGGGAACCTCTGGGGGCCCTCCCGGGGGGGGGGGGGTCCTGGCGGGGCAGCCTCAGGAAACGGCCCTTCAGACGAAGCCAGAACTGGGACCAGATCGGGTGGGGATGCATCGAGCATCTCTCAGAGCCGACGGCCCTGGAGGATACATTCGGCGCTACGGCCTTCCAGGAGCGCTCTGGAACGGAACGCCCTGAGAGCGGTCCAGAGCGCTTCGATCCTCGCCCCAGCCCCGCCCGAGCCATCCACACAGGGCAGGAAGGGCCACCTGCTCTGAGCGGGCCGGGGCCCCGCCGTGAAGACTTCCGGCGAGGCCCCGCTCTTGGGAAAGCGGGGCCTCGCCTCAGCAGGCCGCTCTGGCCCCGCCGTCGTCGGCGTCGTGAGGCTCTCGCCCGGGCCCTGGGACACACAAATAAAGAGACAACAATAACAAGAGTCCCACAATTTGTCCCCATATTGTCTGGGGTTCTGTCTTCCCCCCCCACTTCTCACAGTTTCTCTTATATTTCTTGGGGATCGACGATGAATTGTGTCTGTGTGTTCCTTCCCCTCCCGACTCCCGCCTGGGCCCCGGGTGCTGGGGGGGCCCCTCGCCGTCAGGATGCTCTCCTCGTGAAGCTCCCTCGTCGTGGGGCCCTCGCACTCGGCCATCCCCTCGGACGTCCATTTCCTTCGGCAGTTCCGCGGTCTCGCGCCCGGTGAAACTCCCTCGTCGTGGAACCCTCGCACTGGCCATCCCTCGGACGTCCATCCCTTCGGCAGTTCCGCGGCCTCGCGCCTGCCTCCTGGCCAGATGCTGCAGGATGCTCCTCGATGGTCCTCGCCGAATTCGGATCGGGGAGACGTAAGACTCGGGTACGGGGGACGCGGGTTGGCCCGACGGGACCATCATAAAAATGACGAGACGCAATCCGAAATTTGACGCGAGCTCCCGCTGCAGACATCCCACGAACACTGGACCGTCAAAATCCAGGGCGCGCTCGTCACAACACGTCGGCAAACCCGAGTTCCGGCTTACCCGAGTCCTACGTTCCCCCGATGAGAGAAAGTGCGCATGCCCGAGCGATGCCAAGTCGCAGGGGGCCTCCGCCGGCTGCCGCCACAGAGCGAGAGCCCCCACGGGGGCCGCATGTGGGCCCCGGGAGGTGCACGGTGCTGCGAGCGGCTCCGCCAGAGCTCGCGCAGCGAAGGGCGCTCGGTGCTCCCAGCTGTGAAGAGGCCCCAGGACACACAGACAAATACACACACAAATAAGAGGATCCCCCATGTGTACCACATACTTTCTGGGCTATTCTCTTCCCCCCCACCTCCCATATGTTCCCACATTTTCTGGGGAGTCGACGATTACTTGTGTCTGTGTGTTTCTTTCCCTCCCGAATCTGGTGCGTCCTAGAGGGGTTCATGTTCCAGGGCGATCTTCAAGAGGTTGAGGAGGAGATCCCTCCCCCTGCCCCCGAAAACCTTCAAACCTGGATTACAGTCGGACTTGATTGGAGAGGACACGCGAGAGGACACAAGACCCTCCCAAGGGCCACGTTGCCACAGAAATGCAGGAGGCATGGGTCGCGAGACACAGGACACGAGGGTACCCTTGAGCTGGCAGACATGGCAGGGTCGACCTACTAATCCGGGCCGCCTGTAGCAACGACCATGTTTCAAATTCGCCGGCCCAACGGGCCAGAGGCGTGCTCAGATCTCCGGCAACTGCTTTACAGTATTTCCGCCCTGGGGGTCCCCGGAGGAAAAGTACCCCGGCAAGGTCGGATCAGAGATGGTTTTCCGTCTGGGCGCCGCCCTGGAGACCCTCCAGAGAGCCCCAAGAAGGGTCAAGAGGCCTCCAAGAGGCCCCGACGATGATACAAGAGGGCTCGAAGATGCCACAAGATCGCTCCAAGACGCCCAAGATGGCCCCCAGACGCCACAAGAGGCCTCCAAGAGCACTCCCAAGAGGACCCCAAGATGCAAACATCATGTTGTTTTAGGTTTTGGAACGATTTTGGTGCTTCCACGCCCCAAGACGGCCCAAGACGCCCCAAGAGGCTCCCAAGATCGCCCCAAGAGTGCCCATGAGGCCCCCAAGAGGGCCCCAAGACGGCCCAAGAGGGCCCCAAGACGGCCCGAGAGGCCTCCAAGACGGCCCAAGAGGCCTCCAAGAGCGCCCCAAGAGCGGCCCCAGAGGGAGAGCACGAACCAACATGTGGAGCCCTCGGGCCCCAGAGGCCTCCAGGAAGCCCCAAGAGGCTCCCAAGAGGCCCCTAAGAGGCCCCCAAGAGCCCTCAGGAGGCCCCCTAAGACGCCCCCCCAAAAGGCCCCCAAGAGGCTCTACGAGGCCCCCTAAGAGGCCCTAAGGAGGCCCTAAGGAGGCCCCCGAGAGGCCTCCACGGGCCGGCGGCATGAGCGAGGCGAATCGAGAAAGCCCTGAGCCTCTCAGTGGGACCGGTGCCGTTTCTTCGGCGGGCAGCGCGAAGAGGCACCCGCTGAGACATGTCTCCACTGCCCGTGGCTGCGAAGCGCCGCGCTGTAGGGCGCGAGGGGGCGACGTGCATCGGGAGCATGCTGGCTCGCAAGCTGGTGCCTCTCGGCCAGAGCAGAGCGTCAGCGCACCATATGTTCAGCCTATTGCCCAAAACTTTAAAAAGTCCGGCATCCGCCTAGTTCACTCGCTGTCCGTCACCACCTCCTTGGACTGCCTGACTTCACGGGCAATCTTCGCCATCAAGAACGCGAGATCGTTGGTGTCAGTGAGGTGGTACATCGCCCTGGTGGCCTTCCGATTGATGGTGCACGAATAAAGTCGTGTACCCTGGTCGACGGCATCACCGTCGAAAGATGCTGACGGCCACTGCTCCTGCGCGTGCTCCCCGACAAGGCAATCGTCGACGCCGCCCTGGTAGGCGTGCGAGTCTGGCTCGGACCCAGTCCGTTTGAGGACGCTCAGCAGCGCCTGCTGGAGGACAGCGTTACTGGAGCTGGGGTTGGGGCTGCCGTGCAGCCCGAACAGGCCGGGAAGTTCGCGCTGATCCTCGATCTCTGCGATGATGGACTTGCCGGTCGCGACCATGTTCAAACTGCTGTACACCTTAGGCGATGCTTAAGAAAACCCAAGTGATTCTTAATGTTCCAATGTAAATCCTAAGGTTTTAAGAGAAATGTCGTTTTTTTATTCAAGTTCTGAGACTCTGAATTTCTGAACCCATGATTTCTTAAGCATTTCGCAGGGTGTGCACCTCGTTCAGCGACTTGCTGTTGGCCTCCATGTGGACCTCGTCCGAAGACAACTGCGGAGGCGATGTCCAACCCTTTGCCCCTGGTCGCCACCCGTCCTCCGCCTCTGACTGCAGGCCCCGCTCGATCGCCCCGAGACTGCGCTTGTCATCGTCGGGGATCTCCTGCGCGCTCTCGAACATCTTGTGCAGGAGGGCGAACATATCCTCGTCCCGAGTGTTGAGGTCAGCCGCCGAAAACACGATGGAGTCGTTGTTGCGCCACTCCTCCTTCAACCGTGTCGTGCCATCCTCTAGTGTTTCGCCGCAGATCTGCTGTATGACCGACTCGAGCTGAGAAGACTTCGTCACGCCCGTCGGCCGGACAGTCACGTCTGCAGTCCCCACGATCACCTCTGCTGGAGCAGAGAGCAGTGGTCCGGCCCATAGGTGGATGAGAAGATCCTTGGACTGAAGCGCACCATGGTCACCTTGCGTCTTCTGGTAGTGCCATGATATAGAGGAGGCCGTCTCAACAACGTTCGAACCTGGCGTGCGGGCTGTAAAATAGTCCATGATATCTCTCACAGGACCGAGCCACTCCAAATCTTCCTCGTCCAACGTGCTTACGAAATCATCCTCACCTGGCTTCCTGTAGCACACGCCGCTCTCTGCGATGATCCAGCATGGCACGTTGACGAGAGCATGTGCCACAGTCTGCCTCCCGTACCCGCTGACCACAACCACCTCCGTGTTCGGATCCTCCGCAATGACCTGCAGGTTGCTGTGCAGAACCGACGGCAGCTTTGGGAGGATCTTCGCGTGCACCTTGGTGCTCCTGGGCAGGAGCGTGCCGGCGAAGCCCAGCACGACCAGGCGGCGCTTCGCCTTGCGCCACGCGGTGACGGGCAGATCGTGCTCCAGCGGCGGCGGGATCTGCAGCCGCTCGCTTTCCGTCTCGTGCTCCGCCGTCTGGAGCTCCTCCAGAAAGTTCATCGCCCAGTGGCTCAGGGTGTACTCCACCACGTACTTGTGGCCGTAGCGGTGCAGCTCCTCGCGAGCCTCCACGTCCATCTCGAGCGCCTCCTGGAGCGCGTCGGCGAAGCCGCCGGTGTCCCACGGATTCACGCAGATGGCCGCCGCGCGCAGCGACTGGGCGCTGCCGGAGAACTCCGACATGATCAGCACGCCACAGTTCTTATCCTTCTGGCAGTACAGGTACTCGTGCGCTGGCTGGGACAAGGTGTCACGCAACGGGGTGTCCACGAAGACGTGGGCCGCGCAGAGCAGCGCTGCCACGTCGACCTTCTTGAACTCCTGGCAGAGGAAGTGGAAAGGCAAGTGGCCGATGGATCCGAACTTGGAGTTGACCTCCCCAGCCATCTGATAGACCTGCTGAAGCAAACCATGCCTGTCGTCCGACAAGTCCCCGGGGTCGTCCTCGTGCGCCTCCTCCCGCAGGACCACGATCTGCACGAATACGCACTTGTGCGCCCACGCCGGCTCCCTTTGCAGAAACTTGTGAAAGGCCATGATCTTGTGGGGGATCCCCTTCTTCTCCTCCAGCCTGTCAATTGCCGCCAGTATAGTCAGGCCCTTGTCGGGTGTTTCTAGAAGTGGCTCTGGCCCAAGGTGCTCTTAGCTGTTCGCTTGATTTTAGAGCCCCTGGGGCCCTCTGGGTTCGTGAGGGGTGCTCTGAAGGCCGTGTGGGCCGCCCCGAGAATCCTGGAGGCACCTTGGGCCAGGGGCATTTCTCGCAACACCCGACCTTGAAGCTATCCAAGAGTGCCTGGATGCGCATCCTCGTGTCATCCTGATCCAATATGTGTTGGAACGGCTGGATATCGATGCCGAGAGGCACGGAGAGGACCTTGGTGCACGTGCCCCCAGCGTCCTCGCACGCCTCGATGGAGTTCGCCGAGCACTCGAGGCCCAAGACGCGCGTGCAGCTGGTCAGGAAGTGCCGCACATACTGGAGATCGTTGTTGCTTGTCGGCGATTGCCCAGGCTATCCATGGGGGGGAAGGAGGCGGGGGGTAGCGGTCGATAACCTAACCTTTTCGTGTCGGGCAGCCCCACATACGCCCGCGAGCACCAGCACTTCGTACCTCCATCTAACCTGCTCAACCGTAAAGGTCATGTCTGGAGGGACCCTGGACACACAAATAAATACACACTAATAACAGGATTCCCATGTTTTTTACACATTTTCTGGGTTTTTGTCTTCCCCCCCACTTCCCATACGTTTCCACATTTTCTTGGAAATCGCCGATGAATTGTGTCTGTGTGTGTATCTTTTCCTCCTGAAGGTTACTTGGGGGGGGAGGGGGGGGGGGCGGTCGGGCCCGCTGACCCCTTTGTCTGCCGGACCCTACGAAACAGGCGTCCTGGAAGTTGTGGAACCCGATGATGTTGGAGCTCAGGATGCCCCTCAGCAGTTCCTCGCGCTGCGGAAGGATCCGATACACCTCGCTGCTCGGGAAGACGCAGTGCATGTAGAAGCCGATGGTTATCTCGGGCCGCTCCGCACGGAGCAGCTTGGGCAACAACATCAACGGGTAGTCGTTGATCCAAACCAGGTCGCCACGCGCGTGCTCCTTCAGCAGGGCGTCGCAGTACGCGGCGTTGACGATCTTGTAGCCCTCCCAGTCGTGGACGCCCAGGCCCGTCTCCACCGACGGCGGCGAGTAGTGGAAGAGAGGGTGTATCACCGAGTCTGCGAACCGATCTCGGCCCGGAGGATAGAAGAAGAAACATCTGTTCAAGCACACAGGTTTCGGAAGCCCGCGCGGATTCCCTGGATCGGCGCAGGGCCCCCCTGGTGGCGCCTCCGGCGTCGCCCTTCGGCGCGCTCCGCGCGCCATGAGGGGGGGGTCCAGCGCCGATCCAAGAATTCCACGCAGACTTGCGAAGGTCTTTATGCTTGTTCAAAGGTCTCTTCTCCTAGAGGGGGAAACACGGGCACCACCTTCATCTCCGACCGCAGGAAGTCAAGCAACAAAACGTTGCATAAGCATGAGCTTTCAGAGGACCGCGCGGATTCCTTGCATCGACGCTGGAGCCCCCTCCCCGGCGCGCAGATTGCGCCGAGGGCGGCGCCGAAGCGCCGCAGGGGAGCCCCAGCGCCGATCCGAGAGGGAACCGTGGGAGGCTCCGACAGCTTTTGGTTGCTGCAAGTTTTTGCTCCTCGGGGAAGGACTCCAGCTCTTCCCTCATGGGCGGCGCGCAGAAGGGGAGTAGAGTCAAGTCGGGCATGTCCCCCTACAGGGGGATTGCGGACGAGAAATAAACAATACCCCAAGAATGCCCCCAGATGATCAAACATAGTGCCAAAAATCGTCCCAGGACTATGTGTGTATTACTTTTGAGTAGGCCCGACTTGAGAGCAGAGGGGAGGGGGAAGGCTTCTGAAAAAGCCTTCTCCCCCCTTCCCCCTGGCCTAATTTTTTCCATCCTACTTTTGGACCACATCCCAGAAATAATTTCGAGCACCCGACAAAAATGTGAAAAGAGTGTCGAAACAGTGTCGGGCGAGTGTCTCCCAGGGCCCGACAGGTGAAAACCCTGGAGTTTCGGCACGTTTTCTTGCGCTCGAAATTCTTTCTGGTGGTCAAGGCCAAAGTAGGTTGGACCATCATAACCCTGCCCCCCCCCTCTGCTCGCGGCTACTACTTTTGAGTAGTCCTCCTCTAACGAGGGAGGGACACGCCCGACTTGAGAGCAGAGGGGAGGGGGAAGGCTTCTTAAGAAGCCCTCTCCCCCCTCCCCCCTGGCCTTAGGTCGGGCGTGTCCCGGGATTTTGGGCCAAGGATAAAAAAAACAACAAGACACCCCAAAGACTCCAGAGCAGTAGAGACAAAATCGCCCCCAGACTGTTGTTGTTGACTCTTCCTGCATCTTCCCCCTGCCGAGGGCCACGCCCGACCTCACCCTGGCCCCCCCCTGGCCCCTTCTGCTCGCGGCCGGCCTGATGTCCTCCGACACCGGCACCAGGCTCCTGTCGCAGCTGCGGCGGACCACGGGAGCACCCACCAGCACCGCCTCCACGGGCGCGGGCCCCTGCCCGCGCCGGCGGGAGCCCCTGCCCGCCTCGAGCAGGCGCTTGATGTCCATCTCGAAGAACAGCGAGAGGGTGACGTCGCGCTCGCAGGAGAAGGCGCTATCCTTCGAGCAGGGGGGTGGCCGGACTGCGGGAGCGGCCAAGAGGGGGGTGTGTCCAAGAGGGGGGGGGGGGAGGGGGGGGGCAAATCATGTGACCGGCGGCACGTGCGCGGCCCAGCGGGGGGGGCCAGGGGCGTGATGAAATGAGAAGTGGCGCCGTGCAATCTGGGGAACAATCGTGGCCCCCGCCCTGATGTCCCCCCCCCTAGTCATCACCCCTTCTTTTGAGGGATGAAAAAACGACCCTACCCTGGGTTACAAGTGCGTGGTCTGTAAACCTCCTTGGAACCCCGAAAGCCTAGAGCCGCCAGGACGCGGCACATCACGCAGGGTTTACCCTGTCAGCCCATAGGAGTTTCAGCGCACAGCGCCTCATAAACCAGGGTAGGGGCGTTTTTTTATGCCCTTGACTATTTGCCGCCCCCGATGACTGCAGGAGTGGCGCAACCCAGAATCGATCCTCTCGTCGCGTCTGCGGAGCAGGTGCAGGATGCTCCGCAGATCTGCGGAACGTCCGACGTATATTTGAAGGGGCCTTGGGACACACAAGTAAATAAACACAAATTCGCCGGCCCAACGGGCCAGGGCGTGCTAAGATCTCCGGTAACTGGTTAACAGTAACATCCGCCGCTCTGCGGTTGATCGGGAGTTTCTGTATATATATATATAGAAGAAGAGGCGCGCGCTTCTGGGCGAGAGGGAAACGACCGAGAGAAGAAGGGGCGGCCGCCCCACAGGACCTCTCCATGGTGCCGGAAGCCCATCAGGGCTCCCTCAGGGCCCCTCCCCCAGGGCCGGGGCTCCCTCGCCTGCCCCCTCCCTCCTCCTCCTCCTCCTCCTCCTCCTCCTCCTCCTCCTCCTCCTCCTCCTCCTCCTCCTCCTCCTCCTCCTCCTCCTCCTCCTCCTCCTCCTTCGCCCCCGTCGGCATATCCAGGCGTGTTATGCAGTCAGGTCGTCCGTCCGGAAACGGTGCCGGAGGCCGCTCTGGGCTCCTCTGGGCATCCCCCCCGGGGCCCGTTTTGTGAGGATGACTCAGGCGAGGGCGCCGGTTTGGGATTCGTCACCGGATCCAGCGGATCCAGCGGATCCAGCGGATCCGTCCGGAAACGGTGCCGGAGGCCGCTCTGGGCTCCTCTGGGCATCCCCCCCGGGGCCCGTTTTGTGAGGATGTCTCAGGCGAGGGCGCCGGTTTGGGATTCGTCACCGGATCCAGCGGATCCAGCGGATCCGTCCGGAAACGGTGCCGGAGGCCGCTCTGGGCTCCTCTGGGCATCCCCCCCGGGGCCCGTTTTGTGAGGATGTCTCAGGCGAGGGCGCCGGTTTGGGATTCGTCACCGGATCCAGCGGATCCAGCGGATCCGTCCGGAAACGGTGCCGGAGGCCGCTCTGGGCTCCTCTGGGCATCCCCCCCGGGGCCCGTTTTGTGAGGATGTCTCAGGCGAGGGCGCCGGTTTGGGATTCGTCACCGGATCCAGCGGATCCAGCGGATCCAGCGGATCCGTCCGGAAACGGTGCCGGAGGCCGCTCTGGGCTCCTCTGGGCATCCCCCCCGGGGCCCGTTTTGTGAGGATGTCTCAGGCGAGGGCGCCGGTTTGGGATTCGTCGGATCCAGCGGATCCAGCGGATCCAGCGGATCCGTCCGGAAACGGTGCCGGAGGCCGCTCTGGGCTCCTCTGGGCATCCCCCCCGGGGCCCGTTTTGTGAGGATGTCTCAGGCGAGGGCGCCGGTTTGGGATTCGTCACCGGATCCAGCGGATCCAGCGGATCCGTCCGGAAACGGTGCCGGAGGCCGCTCTGGGCTCCTCTGGGCATCCCCCCCGGGGCCCGTTTTGTGAGGATGTCTCAGGCGAGGGCGCCGGTTTGGGATTCGTCACCGGATCCAGCGGATCCAGCGGATCCGTCCGGAAACGGTGCCGGAGGCCGCTCTGGGCTCCTCTGGGCATCCCCCCCGGGGCCCGTTTTGTGAGGATGTCTCAGGCGAGGGCGCCGGTTTGGGATTCGTCACCGGATCCAGCGGATCCAGCGGATCCGTCCGGAAACGGTGCCGGAGGCCGCTCTGGGCTCGTGCTCTTCGCGCCGGGGGTGAGGATGACGTGAGTTCCACAGAAACTCCCTCAAATTAACAGTATTTCTAGTTCGCGCGCGCGGGGCGGCCCCTGGGGGTCCCCCGGCGAAAAGTACCCCGACCAACGCCCGGTCGCCGCCCGGTCGCCGCCCGACCGCCGCCCGACCGCCGCCCGACCGCCGCCCGACCAAGTCTACTCAGAGATGGTTTTCCTTCTGGGTGCGGCCTCTCAGGCTCCCCAGAGCGCGCTCAGAGTGCCCCAAGAGGCCCCCAAGACTGCCCAAGAGGCCCCCGAGACGCCCAAAGAGCGCTCGAAGACGCCGAAGATGACCCCAAGACGGCCCAAAAGGCCCCCAAGACAGCCCAAGAGGCCTCCAAGACGCCCCAAGAGCCTTCCAAGAGGCCTCCGAAGAGAGCCCCAAGAGGCCAAAATCGTTGATTTTCATTGGTTTTTTCTATGTTTTTTGTGTTCTGGCTTTTTCGGCTTCCGGACGCTCCAAGACGGCCCAAGAGGCCCCCAAGACCGCTCCAAGACGGCCCACGAAGCTCCCAAGACGGCGCCGAAACGACCCAAGAGAGCCCTCAAGACGGCCCAAGTGCCGCCCAAGACGGACCAAGAGGCCCCAAGACGGGCCCAAGAGGGACTCAGGAGGGATACCGAGAACTCAAAAATGGAGCCCTCCGTCCCAGAAGGCGCCCAGGAGGTCCCAAAGAGGCCCCAAGAGGCCTCCAAGAGGCCCCAAGATGTCGCCAAGAGGCCCCAGGAGACTCCCAGGAGGCCCAAAAGAAGCCCCAGAAGGCTTCAAACATGTCTCCCAGGCGCCCCCGAACGGCCTCTCAACAGACCCCAAGAGGCCCCCCAAAGAAGCATCTTGACGACGACTCTATTTCGCCCCATCGAGAGACGACCCCCAGGGAACTGCTTCACCATCAAAACTCCCCACGCAACGCGTCCGAACGACACCCGCCCCCAAGAGCGCAACATGGGCAACGAACACACAGACAAAAACCAGCGATGCCATATCACGGGCCGGCGGAATGAGCGAAGCGATTCAATAAAAGGATTCCCCATCTTTTCCCATATCTTCTGGGTGTTCGTTTTCCCCCCCACTGCCCATATTTTCCAATATTTTCCTGGGAGTCAACGATGAATGGTGTCTGTGTGTTGTTTTCCCTCCTGAGCATATTGCGTAGTAGATTCGATGTGTCAACCGATCGTGGGTTAGATCAGCTCTGGTCAGTCGGTCCCCTACAGTGCGGGCGCGGCCGCAGGCAACCCTCGCAAGAAACCCAAACCCGAGAACCCGTGCGCGAGGGGCACCCAAAGGGAAACCTGGAGCACCCTGAACGCAACAGCTTCTTCAGCGGCCGCAGGAAGCCACCGCGCAGCGCGAGGAGCGAAGACACCCGGGATACCCCGACGAAAAGCACATGGTTTCTTGATGCGCGCCCCCGCTGCATTCGAGTCCTCCGCGTCTGGGTCCCACAGCACGGTGAACGGCAGCGCCGCCGAGACGACGAGCAGCCTGCAGTGCGCCTCCCGCGGGGAGTCCGACACGCCCGGCAAGCCCGTGCCCGCGGGTCGCCGCAGGCCCCTCAGGGCGGAGATCTTCAGGCTGCGGACCTCGATCTCCTCCT